TAAAATAAACAAAGCCTCAGCAACACGCACCACCACTAGCTTAGGTTCCTCATCGACCTGGTTTTATATATATGTTTGTCGTTTGTCTTCTTTTACAATTGTTGGCAGCGGTGGGATAGAAAAATAAAATCCCTCCTGTCACGCAACAGATCTGAGTGCATCTCACCTGCTTTCAGCACATCAAATGTATATATCTTCTTCAGATACCTGAGGTAATCACTTAGGTAACCCAGTTCAAACATCCCAGAACATAATTTAAATTAACAAGCCATCAGAAAAAATATTAATCTCAAAAATCTGCCCTGTGTGTGCAAAGTTCTGATCAAACCAAAGATAAGGCAGGACAAGAAGGAGGTTATGAGGCCTGGTGTTCTGCTTTGTCTTTGATGTAGGTGCAGTGTGAGTCACACGAATAACTGGTAACAGAAGTTTTTTAAAAATATTTCCTTTAGTTGATTGCTGATAAAGAGATGCTGGAAACATCATTTCCATTCATAAAATAAGATCTCTGTCAAAAGAGTAACCAGAAGGTACTACCACAATCTATTACTAATAATAGCCTAATTTATCTACATTCTAGTATCTTTGCCTAGTGGAAGCCCTTTGAATTTGTTGTCATCCCCCTTATGCCTAGAAGACAATGTGTTGATTCTAGAATTGCAATTTTACATTCACTCATTGTTTTACAGAGCACCTGTAATTATAATCAGATCATTGGTCTATTGTGTTTTCTTCATGTCTCTTCCATACATTTAAGATCTCTGAAAATGTTACTTTTAAGTAAAGCAAGGAGGAACAGTAAAGTCTTTGTTCACATAGACATCCTTGAGCTGGGAAAATGGGCTTCTGCTCTAGATGATCCTGTAGTAGCTGAGTGTACCTGGCTACAACGGGAAAGGTAAACAACAGCAAATTCCAGAATCTCTCTTTAGGCATTCATGAACAGCAAAACCAGGAGAAAAGGGGAGAATATATAAGCCTATCCCCAGAATGTAAAAATAATAATAAATTTGTGCATTGCAATGTGAATAATATATTTCCAAATTACCAGTTTTCTTTAAGTTGCAATGCCCAGGAACACATGCACTTTGTTAACTCTAGGCACATCTACCAGCAGAAAAGAAAGTGGTTCCATTGTGTGAATGGCAAGCCCTGGAACTGGTTTGAAGCCTGGATGGTGCTTATATGCATGGGAAAGACTGACTTTTAACCAGTTCCAGGATCTGCAGTATCCAGAGCTTCATGGTTGTGGAGAAATGCACGTGTGTCGATCACCAGAGGACCTGTCTCTTAGGATTTCATCATGTGTAGAATTTTCCATGTTTCTGCATACTTTAAAATTGGAATCCTATGGAGGCCATCACATGGGCACTTCCAGTGGAATTCCGTGGAGTTCCATTTCTGCAGTGCATGAAAACAGAGTCCACACTACTTCTTCAGGAGTCGAGTGTTACCCAACTCCAAACTGAAAAAATTGAGAGAATATGAGGAACGATAGGAAAAGGACACAAGATGGCTGGCCATCCTAGAAGTTGGACCTTGGTGGTATCCACTGACTTTGCTTATCCTAGTTTAAAGTCCTTAATGCATATAACTGCGTGCACTTATGGCATATGTAATCTAAACACCGCATTGCCAACTGCCTTCAGACTGCATTAAGTGGTCAGTGTAGATGTGCCCTGAGATAAACCTGTATTTCCTTTCTTCTCTGCATTGGTGTATGCTCCTTCCACTCTCTGTTTTAGTTACTGGGGTTTTTTTTTAGGATAAGAAAGGGTTTTTGCCACAGCCGTAGAATAAAAGAAAATCACCTGGCTGCCCAGCAGAAGGATTTTCAAAGCACCACATGCCACCATCAACTAGGATTCCTCTAGAAAATGATTCAGGCTGAGAAGTCAAAGTATAGCACATGGATGTAGTCTGGGGATTTGTGATGAAATGCAACAGATTAGTGTGTATCAGATATAGCAGACAAAAAACTGTATCGCACGTACAAATACAACACCATGCACACAAAAAGTATAATCTAGGTAATGTGGAAACCTGGCTGTAACTTTATGCAGCTTATTATGGAGAACTGTGTTAGGAGAAGTAGAATACAGAAAAACCACAATTTGTTTCTCATATATAAGAATTGTAAATGTGCTGTTTCTATATCAAACTTGGGAAAGTTTGGGGTGGCAAACTTAAATCTGAAAGGCTGACTTGCTACCACTCACATGGAGAGTACCTGCTGCATTACATTTTCATGGTTCAAATTTTCTTTCTGCTTCTAAATGTGGGAAGAAAAGGATGCAAATTTCAGACTGGCTTTTAAGTAAGTAAGTTATGTCACCATATTAATGAAAGTATGGTTGTTTTATAACTGTGTCAGAACTTATTATGAATAACTAGTTACTTGTAATCATGTTTGTAACAATGAAGGTATAAATTATTTGGATGCATGAAATTAAATGTTAGGAGAGAAGCATCAAAGTGCTCCAAGGCTGAACTTTTCAGCTTATGGAGATAACATTTGTTGGTTTTAATTTGTACAATGCAACATTCAGTTCATCCATGACAAGGGTTCCCAAACTTTTTCAGCCGCGGATCCCTTTTTGTAGCAAAAGTTTATAACGAGGCTCCAATAAATGTTTATATATTATATATTATAATATATAATGTATATAAATCAGGCACTAGTGAGCTCTTTGACACATCACATTTTAAAATTTGACAGACTGGCCAGGACAGCAGCAGACGATCAAAGAGAGTTTGCGTGAACTTATTGGAAAAAAATGAGCAAATTCCTATGTACACTAGGCTTGTGCAATTTGGCTAGAGGGTGATCTGTTTTGGTATCCAAATTTTGTTGGGTACCCAGATCTCTTTTCAGAAACCTCCCAAAAATCGGTTAATGGAAAAATCTGTTTTCAGCTAGGCAGCCGAAAGTTCGTGGAAGATCAGACCCATTGGTGGCAATGGGGAACTTCCGAGGTTCCCTTTTTTGTTCCTGGGACCCTTTCCTTTCAAGGGGGCCTGGGTTTGAGGAACAGGGTTAAAGAAGCACCCTTCTTGGGGCTATTTTCTTTCTTCATTTAAAGAGAGCCTGGGTTTGAGGAACAGGGCTAAGGAAGCATCCTTTCTGGGTCCCTTTCCTTTCTTCCTTTAAAGGGAGTCTGGATTTGAGCCATAGGGTTAAGGAAGCATCCTTCCTGGGACTTTTTCCTTTCTTCCTTTCAAGGGAGTCTGGGTTTGAGGAATGGAGTTTAGGAAGCATCCTTCCTAGGACCCTTTCCTTTCTTCCTTTCAAGGGAACCAAGGATGCCATTCTGGTCCTGAATTGTGTCTGTCAACATTAATGGACTGGATGAGGGCAAATAGACTGAAATTAAATCCTGACAAGACAGAGGTGTTTATGGTCAGTCAGAAGACAGATCATGGTATAGATGGGGTTACATTCCCCCTGAAGATACAGGTACGCAGCTTGAGGGTGATCCTGCATTCATTACTGACCCTGTAGGCTCAGGGTCCTTCCACACATCCCTATATCCCAGAATATCAAGGCAGGAAATCCCACATTATCTGAGTGTGGACTCAGATAACCAAGTTAAAAGCAGATATTGTGGGATTTCCTGCCTTGATATTCTGGGATATAAGGCTGTGAGGAAGGGCCCTCAGGTATTAGCGGTGGCCAGGAGTGTCTTTGCATAATTAAAACTTATGTTCCGGCTGCACCCGTACTTGGAGATGACAGATCTGGCCATGGTAGTACATGCCTTAGTTATATCCCGATTGGACTACTGCAGCATGCTTTACACAGGGTTGTCTTTAAAGAGCACATGAAAGCTTCAGCTGGTTCAGAGATCAGCAGCCAGGCGACTAAAGGGAGCACCGTACAGGGAGAGAATAACTCCCATGCTGTGACAGCTCCGTCAGCTTCCAGTTTGTTACTGGATAGAATTAAAACTGCTGGTTGTCACCTTTAAAGCCCTAAATGGTTGAGGTCCAGACTACCTGGCTAACCGCATCTTCTCATATGAGCCTGCCTGGGCCCTGCACATATCAGGGGAGGCCCTCCTCTCGGTCCCAACCCTTCTCAAACCCTAGTGGTGGGAATGAGAGAGAGGGCCTTCTCTGTAGTTTCACCCTGCCTTTGGAACTCCCTCCTGAAGGTGATCAGAATGGCCCCATCATTGTCCTCCTTTATGAAGCAAATAAAAACTTTCCTATGCACTCAGGCATATGGAAGTGTGAATGTTTAAATATCCGGCTCTATGAAATAAGGAATGGAGTGTAGACACGGCTTTAAACTTTGTTTTATTAACTTTGTGTAATATATTATTATTGTTTTCATGTGATTTGCTTTATTGTTGAATGCTCTTTTATGTTTATTTTGAATTGTTTTAATCTATTGTTGTATTTTACGACATTGACTGTTTGCTTTTTATGCTCTGAACCGCCCTGAGTCCCCATGGGGAGATAATGCGGGATACAAATAAAGTTTTACTTACTTACTATTTGACTAACAAGTGTTAACATCTGACCTGAGAGGTTATCATAGGTTGCATTCATTAGTTTGCTGTTGTTATTTGCTGTCACACCAACTTCAACTTATGCTGCCCCTATGAGTGTCCAATAGCAGCTCTCCACATTCAGATTCAGCAAAGGATGTTGTCAACCTTTACAAATAACTATTCATACCAGCATGATTCAGGATAATTCACACTATTTTTCTATGTTTTTCTGTTCCTTTTATTTGAATATAGTCTAGGTAGTCAAAGCAGTGGCTTATCACTTCTTTAAAAGAATTTCCTCGAACAGTACAATATTAAGCATCCCCCAACAAAAGAGGAAAATAATCTTCTGTGAAAAAACATCAATACATTGTGTATCAGGTTTACCATTTTTTAAAAAAGTATAAAATGTTAAAAAGTGTACACCATAAAAACTGAGGTATCTGAGTTAATAAATATACTTTAAATTAAAAAAAACACTATTGTATATTGCCATTGATTTTCTATAGCATATTATAAATAACAGTTTCTCCATTGGAAAAAAAAACCCCAAAGTCTTATAGTTTCATCTTCTCATCTTCATCATAAGATACTCTTCAATGTAGTTAATGAAGGTGTCGAATTCTCCCATTGCTTTATAGATGCCTTTGTCTTGTAACTGAGGAGGAAGAGAAAACAAGATTATTTACATGTGGAAACAGCAACAACAGTAATATAATTGTTGGAAATTGGAATCACGTTTAAGATTCAAAATTTGGAGTTATACATTTGCAGTAGTTCCATATTTACAGATCTGTTGTAATCATGGCACTATTGCCATGATCATAATTGTCACCCAGGACTCACTCTACTGTGCAGAGAGAAGGGAATTCATTCTGTGGGCGATTTGGTCATGGACATGGGATGTTTCCACTGCTATCCAACCCATGAACAAGGCATGACAATCATTTGGGTCCTTTATAAGGAGAAAGGCAGGACATACAAACAAACACACTTCCTTGGAGATATTATCTCCCTGTTTATGAATTACCAGAAGAATGGACCCCTTTTCTATCCATATGTCTGGTAGGTTTGAGCAGCTTAGGCTGGGAGAAGCTGCTTACTTATGCAACTAAAGTAGTTACGTAACTGAATGGAGCATGTACAACTCTGGTCAATATAAATAATGGGCTAAAACGTATTCTTAATTTACAGTCCTCACAAAATAACAGCAACAAAAGATTTGAAAAAACTGGAAAAAAATCTGATGCACAAGCAAGACCTGCTGTGCAAGGCCTTGCAAATGTTTTAGATCACAACTCCCATAATCCAAGCTCAATCCCAATAATTCCCATAAACCCTTTCTGTTCTTTACAGTTGCCTGGGTTTAATAGGATTTATAGTCCAGAATACATGAGTGGTTACTAAGTTATGTGGCTCTGATTTCTAGAAGTGATTGTTTCTCAAGTCCAGAAACCATACATGTATGATACAGAAAATGAAAGAGTCATTCTAAATTGAATACTCATTTCAGAAAATGGTCTCTCTCCCATTTTTGCTGACAAAATTGGGAAACACCATAAAGCATATAAGTGTTTGTATGTGTGTTTGTTGTAACTAATGGTAACCTATGGGGAGAGAGCTACATTTCTGAGGGCTGAAAGCTGTTTGGTAAGTCATCTCCCCCTTCTTGACACCCACTCAGTGGTAAATCAGAGATGCAGCTCTTTCCCACTCTTCAGAGATTCTATTAGTTATAAATCTTGCAAATAACTGAGATCTTCTGAAGGATCCAATACTATAGGTGCCTTGTTATGCTATTCATAGGGATGTGTGAGCAGTGAATGAGGTTACTGCTTTGTTCCTAGTCTGTATTGGAAATGGAAAAAATATTCAAAACTGTTTGAAATGAAGATAAAAATGTTTTCAGGAACTTGTAGTGATAAGAATGCTTGACTTATGAGAATATTTGCAGCTTCGGCTTATTCTGTACAACATTTGCAAATGGTATTTTGAGCCAAATACAACATCTACTGTGCAGGAAGCACCATTTTTTTTTCTAGAGAAAGATACTATTTCAGCACAGAAAATGTTTTGTCCTGCACATAACTTCTTCATAGAAATACCACATGCAAATTTTGCAAATAATAAGTGCCAATCTGTAAATGTTCTTTGAAAACTGCAAAAGTTTTAGGACTTTTTTTCAAGCCAGAAGAAAATTATTAAAATTATTTGTATCCTTCAAGAATGAAATCAAAAAGAAATTACATTCCTACTACAGATGCATGTCAAAAGGAAGCCTGCACAGCAACTCCCACATAATAGGCAAAGTCTTTCAGAAACTATCAAAATTATTTTTTGGGTACAATAGGCCCATGAAGAATGTTTAGTGATGTGAGGCAGGGACCTACCTTTTTATAAGTGTCTTTGATGTCCTTTATTGTCTTGCTCTTCTTTTCACATATGAAGTATCTGTGCTGCAGGGAAGAAGTATAACAATTAAGAATTAATGGCTGCATTCTGGGAAGTTTTAAGAGCTCTACAGCCTTTCATGCACATCATACCAGTTAGCAATGGAAATTCATCAAGAAAAACAACCTCTGAACAAACATGTGACTCAAGTAAGTATCGATATCTACATTGTGATGCTCATCCAGGCTGCACTGAATAAGTAGGATACATCTTTTTGATGCTGTTGGGGATGTCTAGTGTGTCTTTAGAGAGGGCACTAGATCAGGCCCTGGAAATGTGAACTTTGAATGCTTGGGAATATTTGCATTGCCTTTGTGTTACTGTTTTCTGGACAAATTTTATGTTTTATGAGCATTACCCAGCAGGGTGATGATTCACCAAAGAAGGCAAATAATATTTGGGCCTGCATTAATAGACCCAGAAGGCAGCATGGTGTAGTTGTTTGAGTGTTTAAATACTTGCTCAGTCATGGAAACCCACTGGCTGACCTCTCTGAACAAATTTTGCCAAGAAAACCCTATACGAGGAGCACCTTACTATAAAGACACACAACAAATAAGTTTATAGTTTCAAAGACATTTACTACTGACATCTCATCTGGAGTACTGCATTCATTTCTGGGCACCTCTTTCTAAGAATAACATAGACCAATTGGAGTGGTTTCAGAATTGACCAATTGGAGTGGTTTCAGAATTGACCAATTGGAGTGGTTTCAACTGGAGTGGTTTCAGGGAAACAAGAATTATAAAAGATATGGAGAACAGAACAAAACACATGAGAAAGGCTATAGAGTTAGTGAAGATCTGATGAAGAGAAGACTGAAGCGTTGGCATGATTGCAGTAAAGGCTTGCCATGGATAGGAAGATGTAGGATTGCTATCTGTTTTCCCAGAGTGTAGGACCAAGTAATGATCTTAAGTTACACAAGTGTAGATTTTGATCGAACATTAGAATGAACCTCTGGAAAGTGAGAATAGTTCAACAATGGAACCAATTACCTAGAGAGGTGATTAAATCACTTTCTCTAAAAGTTTTCAAAGAGATACCTGTGCTCTAGTGGGAGATCCTATATTGAGTGGGAGGTTGTCCTTTACAGAAAGCCTTCCAGTTCTATTATTCTGTTCCTTGGGAATATGAAATACATTATTGTAATCCATCCATTGTGGACATCTACTACTTCAACCAGTTCTATAGTTTTACATACCTACAGTGGTTGTACATTTTTTACACAGATAATTACCTTTCTATTCTTTCTGCCTATCTCTTGAGTGAGGGCAAGGCTGTATATTCAATATGGAAGATAATGAAGCGAGATTCTCTTCATGGAAACATCTTAGGACTTTAGGATTGCTGATAAATGCAAGAAATGCTAAATGTTCAACTCTACATACTGTCCCAAGGCACATCAGACCCCATGTTTCTATTTCAAGTTAGTAAAGTCTGAACACTAACTATGCTAACTGATCTATTTATATATTCTTTTTAAGAAAGAAGGGAAGCATTTCTGTAATTTTAATAATTGCATTTGATAGTAGCTTTATAAAGAAAGTGTTTTCAGTGAGCTCAGCTCCATAAACAAGATGCTCCTTCTAAAATTTCTTGTACAAAGCTTTTTTAAAGTTCAGAAATTTTATACACTCCTCCATCTGTTTTGACTCTCAATGATAGTACAGTATCAGAAATATCACTGCAAATGTAAATTATGTAAATGTAAATTCAGGGCATTGTAATTTTCTGAAAGCCCTGAACTTTAGACTCAAAGATTAATGTCAATTCAATGCATTTACTGCTGGAACTCCAACCTCCACTGTAGGGTCACCATTTCTTTCAAAATGCTTCTGATTTTCTATATTAATAAATCTTTCAGTTTCTTATTAAGATGGTACTTAAGGATGGTCATCCTTCGCTTATTAAAACTTATATACATCCTGCCTTTTCTTTTTTTATATTCTAGAGGCAACTCATGACAGATTTAAATACATACATACTACTACTACAATACATCCTACTACAATAGTATCGATACTGAAATACATACTCAAATACATACTACTACAATAGTATCGATACTGAAAATGAAAAGATAAAGAGAGAGCAGCAACAACAACCAAAGCTACGTATATCAAATTTGTCAGCAGTTTTTACTAACTGATTAAGTCAAAGGTCTGCAAGCCAGCAAGAGGCCCAAATGCTACCAAAGAGGAAGCTAGGCTGATTTCACTTGGGAAGGATTTATATAATCTATGCAAGGAACTCTTTTCTGTATCACTGTCAGTCAGATAACTATGGATGGGAACAGATTCTTTCATGAGCAGCAGTTCCACAAAGCACCAAACAATCCTTTCCTCATATTGCTCACAAAAGGCCAAGTCTTAGTGAAGAGACATTTACTTTTAGTCTGCTTTAGAATGCCATGGTACAGAACAGATTTGAAATTAAAAAGTTCTGATTTCCAATACCACACCAAAATATATTGCTTTCTTCCACCCGTTTTCAACTCTTGCCATAAAGGCAGTTTACTCCATGCATCTAGTAAAACAGACCTAAGTCAAGGGACCTAAGTCAGATGGCTTTAGGGCTCCATTTCCATGCTCTGCAGAAATGGAGCTCCACGGAGGCCATAACATAATGTAAGGGCACTTCTGGTGGGACTCTGTGGGGCTCAATTTTCTCTGCACATGGGAATGAGGTCTTAGGATCTCATCACAAAGGCCCATGGAGTCAGGATGCATTTTGTCAAATCCATGGTCTCCAAGCCAGGGGTGGCTGGGTGAGGAGCCATCACTCCATGCCCCACATTGCACAACTTGCCTTACCACTTATCCTATGGAGGGAAGTGTTTAATGGCGTTGTGTTCTGTGTGTGTGTGTGTGTGTGTGTGTATGCAAGGGAGGGACTTCTGCTTTGCTTCCAGTGTGAACATTATGCTTTACTGTTTGCTCCATGGTAAAAATGCAATTTACTTGAATGAAGTGGCTGAATAAGCTGTAGTCCTACATAAGAGATCGCAGCAAAATATTTCCTGTTAGCCTGCTTACAACTGAGGTTTTCTTTATGGTCTTGCATGCATACTCTCTGACTCAAACTGTGACCAGATGACATAGTGCGGAAGATACTACAGCAAAGTTATTTTGGAATGTGGAGCTGAACCATTTTTATAGCTGCAGTTTAAAAAAAAACATTCTGAAGAAGGTAAGGATTTTGCATGAAATATATTAAAAGGGAATTCAGTACTTTCAGTAACATACTTTAATGTACGTATGGACTTTATGATAAAACAATAATTTCTTACTTTGCTCCTCAGTCTTGATTGTAACATGATACATTGCTGATTTATGAACCTGCTTAATAAAGTCACACCTTTAACCTATGCAATTTCATACTTAAAATATATCATTCTGCTACTCACATGTCTATATGTGCCTCATGAATTTTGTAAAATATTGAGAGTTTACCATTGCCTTGCTCTGAAATATAGCCTATTGCACCTGGTATTCTTTGGTGGTTTTCCATCCAAGTAACAACCAGGACTGACCATGGTTAGTTTTCAAGTCAAACAGGGCATGGTGCCTTCAAATTATGTAGGCTAATCAGGGAAATATAATTCAACCTCTGAGTTGTGATGAATTACTTACACAGCGCTTGATTAACTGTCTCAGTTCCAGCAGCAAGTCTCCAAGAAAGTCTACATCTTGGTTGATAGTATTGCTCGAGCTTACATTTGGCAAGACGTCTTCCAGATAAAACTGGATCATTTCTCCCACTGACTGGCAGCCCAAGTAACCCTGAATGTAGAAGAGAAAATAAGTTTAATGGCAAGAAATCAAGAATTTGGAAGTAAGCAGACCCTTTCGACCTGGCTCTATGTTAATATGTGCACCCCACAGCCATAAACGCTTTGTCTGTCTCACTTCACAATTTCGTTCTGACATCTTGTTCTTGTTGCTTATTCGTTCAGTCACTTCCGACTCTTCATGACCTCATGGACCAGCCCACGCCAGAGCTCCCTGTCAGCCATCTGACATCTTAGGAAGAGCCAATCTCTGTTTCTCCCCCCACCCCCTGAGTCCTTCTTGCTCCCCAACAATCATCATCATCATCATCATCATCATCATCATCATCATCATTTAATTATTTATTAATCGCCCTCCATCCGAGAATGCTCTAGGCGATTTACAGCTAAACTGTAAAAGATAAAATACATACATACAAAAATTAAAAATTAACAGGGATCGAATGCTCTAGTAAAAAGCCAGGTCTTAAGGGCTTGAGTAAAAGGCCCTAAGTCACGCATGGCTCTCATGTAGGGCGGCAAGGAATTCCATAAGGCAGGGGCAGAAATAGAAAAAGCCCTGCGTCTGGTCAAGTTTGCAGACTTGGAAATGGATGCAGTCACACTTTCTTATAACTTTGAAGACTATCAATGTTAGGAAATTACTTCTACTTATTTATTTTTCCCATTACTGTCTCTTTTAATATGACTATACAGTGCACATGAAATAATGATGGAAATGATGCCAGTGATAGTAATAATAAGGTAAAGATAGTCCCCTGACATTAAGTCCAGTCATGTCTGACTCTGGGGTGTGGTGCTCATCTCCATTTCTAAGCCAAAGAGCCAGCGTTGTCCGTAGACACCTCCAAGGTCATGTGGCCAGCAGTTACTATTAATAAACACAAACCATAAAATCATGAAGAATCCAATCTATCGGAAAGTTATAGCACTACTGAGAAATTCCTAAACTCCATTACGTGAACTTTCCAGAAACAAGGAATATGCTTCTTTTGATATTTTTATTGTTCTAAGCAGGCCCGTAGCCAGGATTTCGTTTCGGGGGGGGGGGGGGGGGGGGCTAAAAGATTTTCAGGGGGGGTTCGGGGGGGGCTGAGTTTCAGGGGGGGGGGGCTGAGTCTGAGTGAAAGAGGGTCTAGCCTAGCAAACCTTTTGTATCATTACCCGAATACCCCCATGCATATGGGATATATTGAGTATGGTGATCAGATCATGATATGAATAAACATAACAGTTTAAATAATGCACCAGTAAGGCCTTTTCGCGAACCACCATGAGAATTTCGGGGGGGGGGGGGGACTGAAGCCCCCCGAGCCCCCCCCCCTGGCTCCCACTGTTAGCCTCAGTCTCTGCCAACCTAGCAGTTTGAAAACATGCAAAATGTGAGTAGATCAATAGCTACCACTCTGACAGGACAGTAATGGTGCTCCATGCAGTCATGCTGGCCACATGACCTTGGAGGTGTCTATGGACAATGCTGGTGCTTTTGCTTAGAAATGGAGATGAGTACCAACCCCCAGAGTTGGACATGTCAGAGAAAAACCTTTACCTTTACTATATTATAAACTACTTTCCTAACCTAATTATTACACACTAGTGCTTACTGTTGGGTAACTATTTCAGTTTACTTCACAAGTTCAATAAAAAAGAAGTAAAGGAAGGCATGGAGGCAAGAGTATCACAAGTTATTTCTCAATGAGGATACCACAGGGTGTTAGAATATACTTTGAAATCTAAATAAATATATTTCAAAGGCATTTAAGAACAATGCCTTGTAATTACCTTAATTCACTTGTGTTAAATTTTAGCCATTCTTGTAAGCCGCTCCGAGCCCCAGGGGAGTGGTGGCATATAAGTTCGAATAATAAATAAATAAATAAATAAAAATAAGTAGTTCTATATAAATAAGGATTTTTTCTGTCTACCATTTGATTTGTAAAAAGATTGATCTTAGAGTTTCCACCCCCAGCATCATTTCCATGACCCCAGAGATCAGCATAATTTTACTTTAAAAGAATGTGTTGAGGTAAATTGAAATCTCACCTTAAAATCCTCCAGTAAATCCTCTTTTAGCAGCATGATGTCAAGCTCCTCATCTTGGGTTTGCTGTGAGAACGTGAGAGAAGACAGGAAGGTTTGACACAATTTGAGCAAAGAATGCTTTCACTTCTCACAGAAGAAGCTGATCTGGCATTGCTTTACATTACTGAAATCTCAGATTTGGACAACTACGAATCTAAAAGACTTCCCCACTGCACTCATTGATAGGTAGCAGCTCTCACTAACACTGCTGCCACGTTACTAATTCCATGTGGATCTTTTACAGTGGACTTTTTACATTTGATTGATGCTGAAATGTGCATATTTCAAATATAAGGCTATCAGAGGGGAGAGGACACAGAAATACATCCTGTCTACATGATAGACACTTTAATGTATACATCAGTCTAATTATGCATGAGAGAAAATAGATAGCAAATTTCAATTATTCTCAAATAGATTCAGCAAAGAGTGAACATTCACTATAACAAAAAGAAATGTAAATATTATTCCAATTTTCTCCAAAATGTTTTGGGCAAGCAAACACCCTGCTTCATCCCAAACAGAGATGTAGCATGGCATCTATCTGCTCTGCTAACTGTAATAAAGGGAATGATGCAAGAAAACAAAGAAAAGTTTGGTCATACTCACAAAATATTCTTTAACCCTGTTAAATGTGGCCCTGAGCTCCCGGAGCCTGGGAGGTAGAGCGTTTGCAAAATATTTACAGTTGGTTTCAGCAAGCTGGGAGTGTGCATTCTCCAAAATGAGCACCAGGGACAGCAGCACAGCCGTTTTCATGTCTTCTCTTCCTTTGTGGTCTCACTTGATTTTACAAGAAGCAAGAAAGACAGATCTGCTCATCACCTTGATTGGTCCTGAATTTATACCAAAACTGTATCAGTTTCCTTCCTCATTTTCTCGGGATGTGCAAACCCCAACATTTCCCATAAGTTAAAAAAATTACTATCAGCTCCCCCTTTACTTAATTTGCTTCTTGACTATTTGAATATAAGAAGTGGAACACAAAAATTGGAAGCATGGTAAGATGCCTTTCCATTTTATTTGTTCCTTTAGGTCAACATTCTTATTTTAAAGATGTAAATTTTGATCATTTACATCTGTGTAAACCCAATTTTCCTTTTCAAGGCATCACTACTGGTAGTCTCAGATTTGTTTTTATTGTGATTTCTAGAAAACACCAAGATTTTATATCATCACTTATATTGCTGAAAAAATAAACATATTGATAAAAAGAAAAAAAAGAACACAAAGGTTTTCTCCATCAACATAAAATCTGGGTTGTTGTGTGTTTTCTGGGCTGTATGGCCATGTTCCAGAAGCATTCCCTCCTGATGGTTCGCCTGTATCTATGGTAGGCATCCTCAGAGGTTGTGAGGTCTTTTGGAAACTAGGAAAATGGGGTTTATATATCTGTGGGAGGTCAAGGGTGGGAGAAAGAACTCGTGTCATAAAATCCCTCAATAAATGTAAGTGTCAATAAATCTTTATCTGCCTAGATATAGTTTTACAAGGGCAAGGATTATTTGTAAATCAATTAAATATGCTTAGATTAATGTTTAATGAGCCTAAGCAAACTGTTGCACTTTATAATATCTATTATCAGTTTTCTACCACTGTGAGCAGGGCTGTTAACAAAAAGATGTCTTTGAGGTCTCTCTATCACAGGATTGCCCTAAGTCAAAGATAATGTGATAGCACATATCAACAAACTACTATTACGAAAGACAATAACATAAATATTATAGCTATTTTAATTGTACCTATTGTTATTTTCAGCTTAAATTTTCTGCATTTCACATAAAAATACATCTTTTGTGTGAATAGAATAGTATTGGGCTCCAAGTTTATTTATTTATTTATTTACGACATTTATATGCCACCCTTCTCACCCCAAAGGGGACTCAGAGCGGCTGACAAGATATATATATACATACAATATATTAGCATAGTACAATATCAGTATTAAATATTACTATATTGTACTATACCATTATATTGTAATATTATTAGTAATATTACATGTAATATAAATATATAATTATAATATCATATTATTATTAGTAGTAATAAATTGCATTACATTATAATATTATAAATATTATATGTATATACAATATATTACATTACATTACATTACATTACATTACATTATTAGCATAGCACAGGAAACAAGGTGGAACTGTCCCCTGGCCCCCTCTCTCTTCACTCTGGCCCAGGGCGGCAGTTGGTGCTGGAGGGAGGGGTCCCCAACTGATGACATATGCAGGAGACAAGGTGGAACTGTGCCCTGGCCCTCTCTTTCTTCACTATGGCCCAGAACAGCAGTTGGTTCACAGAAGTTTTTTTTTCTTGCACACAGTATTTACTTTAGCTGTTTGTTTATATATAGTTGGGTTGTTGTAAGTTTTACGGGCTGTACTGCCATGTTCCAGAAGCATTCTCCTGGCGTTTCGCCTGCATCTATGGCAGGCATCCACAGAGGTTGTGAGGTCTGTTGGAAACTAGGAAAATGGGGTTTATATATCTGTGGAATGTCCAGGGTTGGAGAAAGAACTCTTGTCTGTTGGAGCTAGCTGTACTGTGAATGTTTCAATTGGCCACCTTGATTAGCATTTAATGGCCTAGAAGTTTTCAAGGTATGGCTTCTTACTGCCTGGGGGAATCTTTTGTTGAGAGGTGATTAGCTGTCCCTGATTGTTTCTTGTCTGGAGTTCCCCTGTTTTTTGAATGTGGTTCTTTATTTACTGTTTTTAGAGTTTTTAAAGAGGATATGAGCCAGCAAACTGTAGTGGTTTAAGTGATGAAGTAATAGCAGGGTTCAAATCCCTGGGTGACCTTGGGAAGGTCACTCTCTCTCAGTCTCAGAGAAAGGCAATGACCCCCCAAACAAGAAACCCCCATAACAGTCCCTGTTCCTGGCAAACATCGATGTATTCTTAATCTGGATATATTTAGATTGGGGCCTCAAAAAATTAGCAATTGGGTAAGTAGGTTGACAAACCAAAAGTCCTTTACATATCCAAATCCTAGAGCTTTAGTTTCATTTTCTTAATTGTGTTCAGGAATGAGCATGTAAATTGCATTGCATAAACCCAGAGAAGAAAAATTGAACTTTAAAAAAACTGAAACATATATCAAGTATATCTTATTGGCTCAGTTGTAATAGCAGAAGAGTCTCACTTATCCAACCTTCACTCATCCAACTTTCTGTAATATCCAACACAGTCTGCCTCCCTCCCGGATCCACAGCTGTTTCTCTAGGCAATGTTTTTAATACATTGCGATGTTTTGGTGCTAAATGCATAAATAGAGTAATTACTACATAACATTACTGTGTACTGAACTGCTTTTTCCGTCAATTTGTTGTAAAACATGATGTTTTGGTGCTTAATTTGTAAAATCATGATGTAACGTTTAATAGGTTTTTCCCTAATCCCTCCTTATTATCCAGCATTTTTGCTTATCCAATGTTCTGCCGGCCCATTTATAAGTGATACTCTATTGTTAACGTGATACTTATAAGTCATATTTGCCTTGATAAAATAAATATGAACATTGCTGTATTTTTTTTATTCACAATGTATGGAGAAAGAAAAATTGACACAGGTGTAGAAAGCAGATTAATCAGTTAGCCTCCTTGAATCCCTATATTGGGTGAAAGAAGTGATAAAAATCAAGTAAATAAATTATATATTTTTAAAAGTTTTCAAAAAGTTTTCTTTTTTCAGGTTTCAGGCACACTGATCTCTGATACAGTAGGTTTGATCCAGTTACCAGGAACTGGAGTTTTATAAATTTTGTTGTTTCTGTCACTGGAGTTTCTCAGAAGCAGAGAGAATTATAGTAACTTAAATCAAGTTGCTCAGTTCTGGATACATATATTTTGGTATGTGGAACAGAAAAAGGTGAGAATTGTCACAATTTCCTCCAACTCTGCATCTTTGTGTTTTCATTTTCCCATTAGAACACAATCTGTGTATTTGTTTTTCTTCAGCTTTGTGTTTGGGTATTTTATAAACAACTGGAAGGATTTTTTGAATATTTTCATTTGTTTTGTCATTTGTAAAAGAGAAATCAGATATCAGATAGCCTTTTCCATGAGCTCATGCAGGCCTGTAGCCAGGATTTCGTTTCGGGGGGAGGGGGGGGGCTGAGTCTGAGTGAAAGAGGGTCTAGCCTAGCAAACCTTTTGTATCATTACCCCAATACCCCCATGCATCTGGGATATATTGAGTATGGTGATCAGATCATGATATGAATAAACATAACAGTTTAAATAATGCACCAGTAAGGCCTTTTCTCGAACCACCATGAGAATTTCAGAATTTCAGCCCCCCCCCCCCCCCCGGCTACATGCCTGAGCTCATGTGTTAATATCAAAATCCGCGAAAGTGCCATGCATTTTTGGCATTACCTCAAATATTGTCCTCCCCATTTGTGTCCATTTTGCATGGCTCCTTATTTTTTTTATCTGAAAGGAGCAGATTCCTTTCATATTCATTTGGGAAGAAGATGGGAAAGTCTCGAACAATGTCCCTACTGTAAAAAAAATCATTTTGGAACTGTAGTTTTTAGTAGATACTGTTTTACTCTTTCGCTCACACTGCTTCTCTTGATATAACAGCACCAAGCTGCTATTTCCTCTGCAGAAGGAAATTATATAGATACCAGAATTATTTTTCTGCACGAGACATATTGCAGGTACTCTGAAGTACTTTCGATGTGAGTAAACTATGAAGAAAGAGTTACATCCATCTGCTAGAGATGTGATACTGAGCACACACTTTCTTCCCATGGCTGTTTGTTTTGTAAAGGAAGTTGAGGGACAGATCCTAACAACAGCTCATATCTATATCTATTAGATCAGTGGTTCTCAACCTTCCTAATGTCATCACCCCTCATGTTATGGTGACCCCAACCATAAAATTATTTTAGTTGCTACTTCATAATTGTGATTTTGCAACTGTTATTAATCATAATGTAAATATCTGATATTGTTGTTGTTCATTTGTTCAGTCGCTTCTGACTCTTTGTGACCTCATGGACCAGCCCACGCCAGAGCTCCCTGTCAGCCGTCACCACCCGCAGCTCCTTCAAGGTTAAGCCAGTCACTACAAGGATACCATCCATCTATCTTGCCCTTGGTCCGCCCCTCTTCCTTTTTCCTTCCATTTTGATATGCAGGATGTATTTTCATTCCCTGGACCAAATTTGGCACAAAAACCCGATACGCCCAATTTGAATACTGGTGGGGTTGGGGAGGGGTGTACTGATTTTGTCATTTGGGAGTTGTAGTTGCTGGGATTGATAGTTCACTTACAATAAGAGGGCATTCTGAACACCAACGATGGAATTGAACCAAACTTGGCACACAGAACTCTCATGACCAACAGAAAATACTGGAAGGGTTTGGTGGGCATTGACGTTGAGTCTTGGAGTTGTAGTTCACCTACATCCAAAGAGCACTGTGGACTCAAACAAAATGGATCTGGACCTAACTTGGCATGAATAGTCAGCATGCCCAAATGTGAACACTGGTGGAGTTTGAGGAAAATACACAGAACCCCCATGATAACAGAAAATACTGTGTTTTCTGATGATCTTTGGCAACCCCTCTGACACCCCCTTGCAACCCCCAGACCCCTGAACCCCACACAACATGTGATTGAATTGCATCAAAGAAGAGCAGCATTATCTCATAGAATAAGACCCCTGTTCCCATAGGGCAGTGGTTCTCAACCTGTGGGTCCCCAGGTGTTTTGGTCTACAACTCCCAGACATCCCAGCCAGATTACCAGTAGT